CTGTTGCTTGGGCGAGTTGGCTAAACAGCGCTGTGTGAGTGGTCTCTTCTAGAAGTTCAGTCTTTCTTTGCACTGATAAGTCAGTTTAAAGAATTGCAACTGGACACTACTTCAATCCTCTCAATTTCTCGGAATGAAAAATCTTAGCCCATTCCCACTCCGGGAATGACCGTGAAGGCCGATCCCATTCCTACAGTTTGAAAACGTACAAAAAGACACATTTAGTGCTTTGTCGAGCTAAGAATGAGCGCCCCATAAGCTGATGTCACGAGATGCATGCAGAACTGCACAAGTAGTCCAAATACGTTACCGCGGACGAGGAAAAGTAGCTTGGTGCCTGATCTCATGCAGGCCCCACCACAGTGGTCTAGTGGCTAAGGTTCTCGGCTTCTGACCAACAGGTGGCGGGATCGAACCCCGGCTGCGGCGGCTGCATTTCCAATAGAGGCGGATATGTTGTAGGCCCGCGTGCTCAGATTTGGGTCCACGTTAAAAAACCCCAGGTGGTCGAAATTTCCGGAGCCCTCCACTACAGCACCTCTCATAATCATATAGTGGTTTTGGGACGTTAAACCCCGCACATCTATCTATCTACACACACACACACACACAAACACACACACACGCGCACACACACACACAAACACACACACAGGAGGGTATTTCGCTAGCCAACGCAGTGACATGTAACACGACGCCATTCACTTTTCCACAATCTGCACCCACTGCGCACGCGCAGCAATCCAAGGCAGCCGAGGTTGCCTATGCGACGAGTCTTGGTGGCGCTTGCACACCGGCTAGAAGCGGTACAACGCTAGCTCCAGCCCTTAACTGGTTGCACGGGTGTCGCTTTCTTTTTTGCGACCGTTATCAATTGCGTTACACTCGTTCCTTAACAGTGCAAACACAACGTAGTGAAAAAGCGAAACTGATGGCTTTCGCTTAGCTCTATGGGCCTGTAAGGACTGTGCATTTATGGCCACGCAGGCGATATTTTATCAGCAGTTGCATTTCGGAAAAGACATTGCTTCTTGCAACGTTGCATAAATCGGCCGTCACACTATTCGTTGAGAACACATTGCCACGTGCGTGCTGCGAGGAAGACGACAGCGGATAAGTGCTTCTGTGTGCTTTTTGCAGAAAGCACTCACGAAGCAAAAGAGGAAAGCTCTGGCGCGCGATAAATATAAAGACTGACCTGTTCCTACTTTCTCAACCTCTTGATACCACCTCTCTTTTCACGTCGCGATAATACATTTGTACTTAGCTTGAAATCCTTGGAACAAGACTGAGGCTGAGAATATTTCAGCAATGTTGACTTCTCGCTATCTACAACGCAAGGCTTTGACGAAAGCATGTCTGCTTGGGAAGTAACATAAAACTAAAAGCAGTGGATCCACAAAAAAAAAGAGAGAGACAAAACCGGAGAATGTGTTTCGGCTTCCCCGAGGAGAGCTTTGTTTACAATTTCGTCAACAAGGCACCCGTCATTGTGAGCAAGGCTGCGTCAAGGTCATCGACACGTCTCTTTTCCGCATTTTTCTTTATGGTCAGTGTCCTTTTCCTAATTATCATCACGCACGTATGAGGACACATGAATAGGAATATTCACTACAGTTAATAAATAAAACGTGCCTGCTCAAAATACATCATGCCAATGTTCAATTTTGTAGACGACCTGATGACCAGTTGACGCGGTGGTTAGGGCTAGTCAACTGTGCGGATGGCTTCAGGCGTTTTCGTTTTACCTCCAGCTTTAAAAGCTTCAAACTTATGGGGGACGGGAGGGGTAAGTGTTCAATGATACGTAATTGTAAATAACATTACCTTGAGTCAGGCAAGTTAGTGCACTTTGTGAGTGTTCACTAATTATGCAAACGACACAGATGCGAGGAACAGATGCAGGATGACTGACCCTTTCTCTACCGGACAAGCGACGCTCCTGTTATGTCTTCTATCTTGGAAGTTTGCGCGCTTTATTGATGAACACTGCGTTTCGGTCGCACAACTTTACTTCCTGCTTTAATTTACTACTAGACCTGCAAGCAGCTAGCAGCTGGTAGTAGGAGCCTTGCTGGTATGAGAATTGTTAGTGTATATTTAAAAGCTAAACTGACAACACTGTCGTGCATTTATAGTGTTGTTCATAACAACCCAAAGTTAAGGACCTAAATGAGGTGTTTTGAGGGTGTTTTTACGAAAACTCCAAAGTTTTAAATAGGACTGTAAAAAGGGTGCCTATATTGGTGCTTTTATTGCGTACGCCCAATTTACACACTTTTAAGTGTAAATATCTTTGCAGTGCGCCGATGCTTGCCGTGCCACCACGTCGACAAACGAATCGCCAACGGGGCATGCTTTCTGCTAGTGAGTGCTTACCTTTCCTGGCCGTCACTGGCGTTGCGTGTTAGCGAAAGAGATCGCGTTCGGGAATGGCGATGTCACGCCTGAAACACCGACGAGGCGTAAGCCAAGAAAGCCGAACGAAAGCGTCGGCTGTCGAAGACCAACGACACCGATGAAGTGCGAGTCAAGAACGCCGATCGCGTTCGAGAATGGAAACGGCGTGCAGGTAACACTGACGAAACGTGAGCCGAGGAGGCGAAGCGCAAGTGTCTTCAACGCATATTCCTGTGTCTTTACGTTTTGAACAAACGTTTACTCCAGTAAGCACTACACTGAGTTTAAGTTCAAAGCGTTCTTCTAGCATCCACATCGACGCCCGTTACAACCTGGTCAACGCCGTGCGCACCACGGCTGCTTCGTATCCCAACAGGGTTTGCATCGGAAAGATGGTCCATCATTTTTCATTCTACTTCGTATCCCATCAGGGTTTCCTTCGGAAAGATGATCCATAATCTTTAATGCAATAGCAATATGTTGGCACTCTCGGCTGGATTTTTTCGTTGGTGTCGGCTTGATAGTCGGCATCGCCGTCACTCACCGTATATGTTTACCTATCTGTATATGTGAAAATGAAACAAAAAAAAACAGGAAAAAACTCTTGCGCATGGAATCGAACTTGGTTGCTCACTATCGCGAGTGCGACGTGTTAACCACTGAGCCACCGAGCAGCACGTTCTTAATCGTTCTAACGGCAGGCTATTTATGTCTACCACTTTCTACTGCTTACGTACAACTCGGGGACAACTATCGTGTTTTCAACATTACCAGCAACATGGCATATTGACCGCGGATCACAACATGGCGCGACGGTGCGCGCTCTAATCTCCCACACGTACTTTTTTCCGCTTAAAGGCCAAACCTCATAAGCGCTAAAATGCACGCGACAGCGACGAGCGACGCGACGTAGATCGTCTTCGTGCGATCAGTCGCTAGCGCAGGCAAACCTCATTCACGCGACGGCTTCGGAGAGCGAACTCCACTGTTGCTGACATGAGGCCGTCTACTCGCACCAAGAAAACCACGTAGTGAGCTTTATGTAATTAAAAAATAAGATATATTGCTGTGTAATGGAACGAAAAGTGTTTATTAATGCCTTGCAGCACTTTTTATATGCACATGCGTAATAAACATTGTGTCATTTCTTGTTGCGCATACGTGTCTCGGGCACGGTCACTTATGTCTTTGTCAGTCTTTGTCTTTTCCGGTTTTTCACTATTGGCAGCTTGAGCCCAGCACTTCTGGGCGATTAGCGACGGTTTCCAAATCTGGAGAACCGAGCGATCGCGCAAAAAAGAGCACGCGACACGTCGCGCGAACGCCCTGTTTTGTCGCTCATAGCATCGCTCGTTGCTGTAGCGTGCATTTTCGTGCTTAAGAGGTTTGCTCTTAAAGGAGTGGAGCGACGCTCCCTCGCACACCCTTATTAAACAGCAGGGAAGAAGGGAGGATTGTACGTCTTCGCTGACTTCGGGCTTCACCTGAAATGATTCTGTTGTAGTTACCGGGTGTGCAAAGGTCACTGCAATATTTGTATACTCCATTTGCGAAAATCGCGTGCTTCTATGACACAGCAAAGTAACAACAGAAACGCTCAATCGCGTGCATCTGTGCCCATGAGTTTCTTTTGTGCGCCATTTTTGCGTGAAAAACGCGGGGCGCATTCAGACCTGCTTTTTATTCGGCACACACATGACCATTAAATGTGTGGCTATGGCGTTCATTGCTTCTCTTTTGCAGCAAAGCTATAATTTTGTTAGTAGCTACTATCGACGACACATATCTTAGGGGAAGCTGCCGTGGCGCTGTAATTTATGGGAAGGCTATGCAGCACGTAGTCATGTCACACTGAGCTGAACAACAGCAAGGTGGAAACTTTGCGTATATGCGCCCAGAGGAAGCCATCACACGCACTTCACCACTTTTTACGGCTACGAATCAATCGCAATGACATCATTTATCCCCCGAGCATCGTTAGCCAATGTATAGCTTTACAAGCTAAGTGGGTGCCTTGTGGCAGCTGGGGAAACATTGTCGGTCGTCAGCGTTGTGACAGAGTCACTCAGCGAACGTTAAGATAGAGGAAAATAATACTAGCACTATTTTCGGGGTTTGACATCCAAATGCCACAATGTGATGATAATAGATGTCGTTGTGGAGGGACGCGGAAATTTTGTCCATCTGGTGTTCTTTAACATGCACCTAAATTTAGGCACACTGGGCTCAAGCATTTCCCCCCACTATCGCAAATGCGGCCACCACGGCTGGGATTCTTTCCCGCGACTGGCGCATCAGCAGCTAGGTGCCTTAGTCATTAGACCACTGCGGCGGATAAGGTAAAGCAGGAACGATTGCACAGGAGGTAACGACCTGGTCTTGAGGTGGTACACTGTTTGCTCAAGCTGCCTCAGTTCATTAAAAGGGTTGTAAGCTCTCCGGCGTGGTGTTTTACACTTCTCGGAAGTAATCTAAGCTGTGTCCTAGTTTGTGTGGTGTAAGTATGTGTAACGTTAATGAAATATTTCTTATGCAGTTTTTGTGACGGAAAAGTGGACGAATAATGCGGTTGTAAGCCCTCACGATATTGTGTTTTTCAGTGCTCAGAAGTAATAAAAACTGTGTTCCGCTGCGAATGGCGTAAGTATATGTAACGTTAATAAACATAATAGTTTTGCAATTTTGAAGAATGAAAAGTAGACGAAAGGACAACCTGCCGAAAACAGGAACCAAATTAGCAGCATTTGAACAACACACCCCTGATTCGACCAACTGAGCTACTGCTGTGGCCATTCCAATTTTTATTGTATGCGGCATATACATGCATTGAAACATGGTAGGGTCAGCCTGCGCTATTACTACTCAGGACCATGGATTCGAAACATTGTTTTTGTCTGTATTTCGGTGCCTTGTAGCACGCCATCGTCTTAAGATCTGGTATTTGAGCAATGCTACCACATGCTCGCAGGGAACTTAAATGATACTAGGTGCTACTAGACGCTCACAGGATACCTGAAAGCATCTAGCCTATCACGAAAATACCGTCGCTGTCAACAAACGACTAAATAGATAAAAGTTGAAGGCATCGTATTCGCTAACGATGCCCGGTTGGCAAAAGTTGTTTTTGATCAAGTTCGTTCGTAGTTATTTGCATTCTGTCGTACATATACGCATGCGGTAGCTGAAATGAACCGTGATTTGTGAAAACTGTTTCATGTTGTAAACGCGAGAATTTTTCGATTATGTGGGTAATTACTAGACATCTAAATTCTTCACAACCGCTTACTCTCTTATGTCAAATTTGAATAATACCAAGTTGCGAAGGAAGCCATGATAGTGCTCGGCGAAAAGTGGCTCTATTGATACATCAATATGCTGGCAAAAAAAAAGAGTGCGTTTTGGATAATAAGCACTTCATTTAAAAACGTCAGATAGTGGGCGGTCATGTCATATTAACCGTCCGCAGCAAGAGATAACAGTCGTTTCCTGTCGAAATGAATGACAGATTTGTGCCCGTTCACAAAGTGGCCAATCTTTTCGCAGTAAAACGAAATGCAGAGTGGCTGACTTTCAATTGCCTATGATGTACAGTACTCACGGATTGATACAGGACACTTGCAGTGTGTGGCCCCTGGTGCATGTGCTGCCACTTATGGGTGTTCGCGGAACCAGGTATAGAGTGAGGAAGAGAACACCTACATAGCAGGATAACTCCTTCCGGTTGCTAAAGAACTGGCGTTTAGTTCACAAAGTGGACATTGTCAGCGTCGTGGTGCATGGCCCACGCGCTTTCGCATGCATGCAGCTTTAATGGAGTGGATTATGCGCATCATTTAGGCAGACGGCACTTTCGCTCGGCGTACTTCAATGATGAGGCACGTAGGCTGCGCTAGTAATATATAAGGATACAGCTAAGAGCACCTGACATGTGCAAGTAGACATAATAAAAATCTGTGCAAAAGCATATAAAGTATGTCAAGTTTTTTGTCACTACGAAAAGAAAAAAACAACAGCCACGGGCCTGTTTCCGTGCAGCATTGAAACAATCACCTAATATTTTGTTTTATTACCCTGAGCAGCCAATATTGCGGCTATTCTCCGTAGAAACCTTTTGTGAGCTCCCAGCCAAAGAAGTACGGGCGAGCTTCTTCCATATTCATTTAACGATAGGCCACAGTTGGCCCTAGTGACACTACTACGTAATATTATTTCCATGTTACATGAAGGCAAGCCTGCCACTCATTTTTTTTTCTCTCGAGGCAGAAGGCATGAAGAGAACTTTATATGTTTTATGCAAATATTTAACAGGTAAACGAACGCGCACAAGGCGCCATTTCCTTACTCAATTTTCTGTATTACTTGCGCAGTATGCGTACCGCATCGTCTAAGCGCGCAGAACAAGAGGGTCATATGCTGGCGCCGCGATAAGCGTGGTGCGCAGCGCCGAGCTTGTGCGGTCGACGTGCGAATGTGCGTGAGCCTTGCAGCGCCACGCCGGCCGTGTACACAGGGTGAACTACAGGCCGACACTTTGGCGAAGGGAAAGAGTAATCCTGCTCTGTAGGTGTTCTTCCCCTCGATCAATACCACAATGAAATATATTGATTCTACGCGCCCCCACAAGCGGCGGCACATGTACCATCAGCCACACGCTCCAAGTGTCCTGTTTTAATCCGTGAGTACTCTACCTCAGCTTGCGTTAACGCACAGAAATTGTCCGTCCCTGCATGGTGCTCGCCGCTCACTCGATCCTAATACTGCAAAATCGTCCCACCATAGCATGTCTTGATGTACAGCATCATGGGCGTGTGGTTGTTTGGAGTCCAAAGCAGCCATCATTTCAGTCAGAATGAAGTTCAAATAATCAATCAATTACATTCAATTCGAACATAATTAGTATCAGTATTACAGTGTTCTTGATTGGTATCATAGTCAGAGCCTGGATCGGCTATGTGAACTGAAGTGTGCTCACAAAAGGGTGGCACTTCACCGACTCGCTGAACAGCATCCCTACAGTGAGCTCAACACAACTTTTAAACTTTTAAATGCTGACCATTTTTATGTGTACTGCAGGCACTTTGAACGTGTACCTACGCATCTCTATCTATCTATCTATCTATCTATCTATCTATCTATCTATCTATCTATCTATCTATCTATCTATCTATCTATCTATCTATCTATCTATCTATCTATCTATCTATCTATCTAGCCACCTAGGTCAAACCCTTCACGCGTGCTAAACCAAATTTAGTATAGTAGGATACGATGGCTCGAACAATACGAATAGCTTGTAATGAGTGAACAATGTCACAATTTCATCGTGCTCGTTATCAGACAGCTTCTGCCGGAGAGTGGCAGATACTCGCGGTCTCGTATGTGCCACTGGAATGAGGGTTTGTTTCAAATATCCTGCTTTTCTGGACACATAACAGCCAGTGCCCCTAGCGGTCTAGGGGCGCTGGTTAGGGCGTTTTCAATAAAACAAGTGAAGTTTTTTTTTTGAATTATTCATTCTAGTGGGTGTCTGTTGAAAAACGCAGGCAACAGAGAGCATCTGGGAACCTAAACGGACAAAAATGCTGCAGCAATCATAATGGGGTAAGCTTCAATTTTGTTCCCAGAGCTGTTAAAGATCACACAATGCGTGTTTTGGGAAACAGCCAAAAAAGTATGCTGTTTCTGGAGACAAAAACTTTCACTACACTAACACTAAGCAGGTTATAATAATGGTCAGTGCAGCGTATGTAGTGCTGACCTTCAATTTTTCATTGAAGTCATTCTAAACGTGCCGAAATAAGCATCACATTGTTTTCTAATGCGTTTCTTCAACGCGTTCCATCAAATGGTTGTGGTATATTTATAAACTTTTGCTTATCGCAGTCGGCTGCGCGTCGTCATAGGTTCGATGCCGCGCATCACAGCAATTTTTTTAAACCCGTGAAATACTTCCACTGCCTCCTACATGATGTTGTCACCGAAACAAAACGAATGAGTTTTTGATTGTTTCCATTTCTTGCTGTGATCTTGAGAATTCTTAGGTGTTCTTTCATTTCCATTACTTTTGTTTGGTTTTGTTCATTTCCATGCATTTCTTTTTTCGTACGGCATTGTGGTATAAGCTTACTTTCTGTTTTCATGATTTTGTTATGCTCTTTTCAGGTCTCTACAATTCACTGACGTAAAGAACACGAACTAAGAATTGGAAAGCAAGGCATAATAAATGGTGAAATTTCAAGTATTCTATTGCTTTTTTTGATTAGAAGTGTTCCTTTGCAGAGTATCTATCTATCTATCTAACTATCTACCTATTTATCTATCTATCTATGTAGCTGCCTACGTGGGTATATATCGCTGTCTCAAACTAATTTTTGTCTACTAGCAAGGAGGCGATATGCGTTGTATATACCGCCGTATATCATACGCTGCTCTATATCAGATATATACTACTCCTATGACCACGTAACCGATACGGTTCTTGAGGCAAACACGCTTCGTTCACACAAAAGCGATGTTCAGGAAGTGACTGCCAGTCCTTCTCAACAAAGTACTGTATCACCAAGATGACAGAAAGTGAGGGGTAGTGGTACTGGTGCTCATTCACCGCACGCTTCGATTTTGTTCACAAATATCAGAAGCCTAATCAGCAAGCACACAGAACTGTCGGCGGCTATTATTTCTTCATCTGCAGATATTATACTCCTAAATGAAACATGGCTTCATTGGAATATACGTGACTGTGAAACCTTGGATTCTCGTAACCAGTTCTATTTTTACCGCCATGATAGGGACGCAAGCCAGGGAGGCGGTGTCCTCGTGGCTGTGAAAAAACAACTTGAATCGTTTGCGCTCAACATACCGTCAGGCTTAGAAATTGTGTGGCTATCTGCAAAGCTGTCACATTGTAGGATAATTTTGCGTGCTTGCTATTGTCCACCTAATTTATCGGCTACGTTCGTTGCTGACCTTTAGGACGCGATGAACGCAGTTGTATCCTTAGTGCAGAAGACTGAGGCGCAAAAAACATAACGTGAAGCAGGAGGAGGAGGAGAGAAGACAGAACAGCGCCAACTACCAACTGTTTATTGACCGTCTAGGAAACGCACTGGAAAGAAGACAAAACCGCGCATGCGTTCACAGCCAACAAACAACGCACAGCGTCATGAACAAGGCACTAAGTTATCCAAAAAATGCATTTTCGTTGTGTACAACACAATAGATGTATCACTGATACAATCGGGCCCTTTCTTTTTGATAAAATAGGCTTCCAAAAGCTCTCTAGCTGTTTGTTTTTTGCTCCTACCAAGAATCGCCGTCCTTTGGAACGATGGCACACATCCGCAGGCTTTACAGTGCACTGGAAGATGCGCATGCTCACTTTTGCCTAAAGTATTGGCATGCTCCCTCAGTCTGTCATTCATGCAACACCCCGCTTGACCAATATAGAACTTGCCACAGCCTAGGGGAGTCCCATATACCAGGCCTTGTGCACAGCGCTTAAAAAGTCTTGTGTGCTGCTTCTGGCAGCCACTTTGCTCATCGCGCATGCGATACGTGGGCACAATTGAGCAAGTTTGTTGGGAGCTGAAAAAACAACCGGAACACCATAACGAGAAGGCACCTTCTTGAGGTTATGGCTCACACGGTGTATATACGGGACCACCTCAGACTTAACCCGCTATCTTTCCTTCGGGCGCGCATTTCCATTAGACACTCTGCCTTTCACCCTCTACAGCAAAGATTCCACCACGAAACTAACTACGGACCGAAGGTAGCCAGCCTTGGAAAATCTTAGAAGTTGACGCATACAGCTAGCTTGTATAACATGCTCACACGATCTGCGGAGTGCCAACTCTAAGCAAAGTAGAGCGATTCCGCGTTTCACAGTCTTTGAATGCGCTGAATCGTAAAGTAATCGTAAAGCTGAATCGTAAAGTCTACACAAGGCTGCCCTGAAAGCTGATTCTGGGCGACAAGTGTGTGTGTTGCAACGTGTAGTGACATATTTTAGAGACAATGAACTCTGTCTGATGCTTTCAGATAAGGAAGGTGGGTTTGTGGCCTTATCCAGGAACTCCTGTAAGGAAAAAGCACGATAAGCCATCAACAAGAACTTCAAGCCTGTAATAGTGACGCTATCTAAAGCCAAGAGAAATGTTGTCTTTTTGTGTAAAGAAATTGGGTGTGAATCTTTGGCTAAAGAGATAAGCAGAAGCAAAAATGATTCCCTTACTGCTTTCTTCATCGCTAAGACGCATAAAGCCGACGTACTTTTCCGCACCATGATTAGTGAGCGTGGAACTTGGCAATATCAAATTAGCAGTTTTTTGCTCAAAGCCCCAAAACTTCTTGAAGTTTATGACCCTTTCTTGACAAAAAATTGCGATGAAGTATTAGGGTTTTTCCGAGAAAACCAGGAAATAGGCAACCTTTTTTCCGTAGATAAGAGTGACCTTTTTTACTCGATTTCGCATCTGGAGCTACTTCGGGCAGTTAAGCAGTGTATAAAAGGTAGTGGCGAAGCCACCTTTGTGTCTAAAACGGAGATGTCGTCCGCTAATTTTGTTACCCTCTTAGAAGCTTATCTCGACCACGCTTTCGTTTCTTTTGAACATGGAATGTTTCTACAGAGGAAAGGTAGTTGCATTGGGTAACGGGTAGCAGCGATTTCATGTGACGTCTTTTTATCATCCTTTGACCACGCGCTACAAAGTGTTTTCACTTCATCTCATTCATGTTTTTAAAGTATTCAGATATGTAGATGATTTTTACTTGTTATTGACAATAGATGTCCTTTTCTTTTTTCTGTGATGGTTGAGCAGGTTTTGGATGTTTTTAGAGCAAATGCTGAAGGGCTCTCGTTTACTAATGAACTTCCGGAAGATAGCTCCTTGCAGTTTTTGGAACTTAACCTGATAATTTCGGCTGGTCACGTATGCTGTGCGTACCTCCCTCGGAGTAAGAAGGTGTTGTTACTTTACGATTCAGCGCATTAAAAGACTGTGAAACGCGGAATCGTTCTACTTTGCTCAGAGTTAGCACTACGCAGATCGTGTGAGCATGTTATGCAAGCTAGCTTTATGCGTCAACATCTAAGACTTTTCAAGGCCGGCTACCCTCAGTCCGTAGTTAGTTCCGTGGTGGAAACTTTGCTGCAGAGGGTGAAAGGCAGAGTGTCTAATGGAAATGCGCACCCGAAGGAAAGAGAGCTGGAGAGAAGGGCTGCCAGAAGCAGCACAGAAAACTTTTTAGGCGCTGTGCACAAGGCCTGGTATGTGGGACTTCCCTAGGCTGTGGCAAGTTCTATATTGTTCTAACGGGGCGTTGCATTAATGACAGACTGAGGGAGTATGCCCATAGTTTAGGCAAAAGTGAGCAAACGCATCTTCCAGCGCACTCTGAAGCCTGCGGATGTATACCATTGTTTGAAAGGATGGTGATTCTTGGTAGGAGCAAAAAACAAACAGATAGAGAGCATTTGGAAGCCTAATTCATCAAAAAGAAAGGACCCAATTGTATCAGTGATACATCTATTGTGCTGTATGCAACAGAAATGCATTTTTTGGATAACTTAGTGCCTTGTTCATGATGCTGTGCGATGTTTGTTGGCTGTTCACGCATGCGTGGTTTTGTCTTCTTTCCAGTGTGCTTCCTAGACGGTCATTAAACAGGTGGTAGTTGGCACTGTTCTTTCTTCTCTCCTGCTCTTCCTGCTTCACGTTATGTTTTTTGCGCCTCAGTATTCTGCACCAAGTATGCACCAACTAGCCCAAAAACAAGTCCTTTTGTTTGCAGTTGTATCCCGACACCCGATATATCCCATTTTTTATTGGGTGATTTTAATTAACCAGATATTGACTGGTCGGCCGCAGTACCTTCCCGAAGACCGTTTTCATCTTGTACCCAACAATTTATAGACTTTTGCTTAGCCTTTAACTTCATCCAACTAGCATCAGAACCTACGAGACTTACGCAAACAACCGCAAATATACTGGATTTAGCTCTTACAAACTCCCCAGATCACTGTTCGGAAATAACGTATATGCCCAAACTAAGTGATCATGTCCTTTCGAATTTGACTGTAACAATACCAGTGCAAAAATGTTCTAAAAAACGAAAGACCATTAGTAATCATTACAATTCCAAATTCTCAGGAATTAATTGTGAGCCGCATTTTATTCTTATTGATTACTTAGACGGATTCGATGAGCGACCACTGGAATGCAACTGGGCATTAATTAGGAACAAGATCATGAATTGATAGAACGATTTATAGCTGCTCGGGAAATTACGTGTAATCCGACCGCTCCTTGGTATAACTCCAACCTAAAACGATTACCTACCCCCCCCCCCAAAAAAAACGTCTGTACCGTGGCGCCAAAACATCTCGCAGCAGTTATAGGTGGTCATTGTACCGTTCAGTAGCCAATGAGTATGTTACTGCTGTCAAAACTGCAAAAGAAAACTTCCTAACCAATACGAAGCCTAGTTTATTGCAAGGTAATCTTAAGAAATTTTGGCGCGTTCTTAACCCAGCTGACAGCTCTCATATACTCTGACACAAACGGTGAACCTTTACCTCATGTAGAATGTGCTAGTGTGCTAAATAAAGTGTTTTGTGATGCAATCTGCAACAATCCCACTTCTTGTCTACCCAGTTTTAAAAGCCACGACTGCATATCGATGTACCATCTGCAGATTGACCCTAACAAACTAGTTAAAATAATTGTCTCTCTGAAAATTTTTTTCAGTTCTGGCGTAAATGGTATTAATTCCAAATTCTTGAAAAGTAGAAAACAGACTGTTCTATTAACCTAGCGAAGCTTTTTGAACAATCCTTAGAACAAAGTAAAATCCCTGCGGATTGGGAAGCAGGGAAGGTGATACCAGTCTGTATATCTGGGGACAGACAGTCCCCTTTTAATTACAGGCCAATATCTATCACTAGCATACCATGTAAAATTTTGAAACACATTTTTTACTCTCATGTTGCCAACTTTCTCGAATCCAATTCATTTTTTGACCCTGAATAGCATGAATTCTGGAACTGTTTTTCGTGTGAAAGCCAGTTAATTTTGTTTACTCACAAACTTCACTCTATTCTTGACAACCGTATTTATTTTGATTTTGCTAAAACATTCGACAAAGTTCCACACGTGTAACTCCTGTTCAAGCTAAGAAATATTGGTCTCGGTACTAGCATAATAAATTGGAAGCTCTTGTTGAAGTTCCGGTCTTGCTTC